TAATTATAACAACATTTGTAACCACCACCACTTGGGTTAGGGAATTTTTGGATTCAAGAGAGAAGAGGAAGAATTTTGGGGGAGAAGGGAGACATTTGTTGCAAATTATCCTAACATCCGTAAAAAAAAAGGGTTATGAACAAAATTCAAAAGAAATACCACAAGCACATGGCTATTAGAACTATTCTACAAAAGTTATATATCACCTTAAAAAAAATATTCAGCTTAACAAGATTGCTTTTTACTTTTTCTTTAGCTTTGTATTTATGGGAACATGGTTATGTCCACGGAGATGACACATGTCAAAAATTAAGAAAGATGATAAGGGTACATTTTGGATTAAAGTGGTGAACATAAATGCTCTATTTTTGTGTTATACATATATATATTTTTATGTGGTCATCTAAATTATTCCATATTAGTCTATATCTATCTATATATATAAAGCAAAAGGTAGAGAATGGTAAAAAATTCAAAATACTAGAAAATGCTTTTGGTTAATGCACAATTAAGAATTGAAATTATTAATTAAATGAGGATAATATGGTAAATTAACACATTTTCATATTTAAAAAAAATTAAAATTAAAAGAAAAATCAGATAATAAATCCTATTTTTATAAAACACAACTGCCCATTATCTTTTTTAATCTAATTTACCTATAGCAGAATTCGAACTTGGGTAAAAAATGCGGGCTTATTTGCCTGGCGAAGTGGCCTAACCTAACCGACGTCTACTTCTACATTCCAAAATTGGTAAAGTAATAAAACCCTAAAAGCCTTTATTCAATTATCTTTGATATATTCGCCACGATTCATGCTGATGCATATGATACAACGAAACCATCACCATCAATTTCACCATTTCCAAATACACACGTGACAACAAAATACACAGTTAATTTTCGAACACCATTTCTAGAGAGGCAGAGAAAGCTCAATTCGCAAACACGAAATTAAGCAATAAACCGTGCCCAATTCACTTGGAAACTGTATAATCTCAAATTCTCGATCCCCCATTACAGATTACTCTCCCTTATGCGGTTAGCTCTCAAGAAATGGCTTCTTCAGAGATAGAGGTGGTGTCATCGGACTCCAAAACCCAGAAAAACCCTACCGAGGTGCCGGTGATCGACGTCTTCTCCGCTTCTGCTTATGGCGATTTTCAGAAACTGAGAAAGTTTGTCGAACAAGACGGTGCCTCTCTCTCCAACCCTGACGTCCATGGCTACTACGCCCTCCATTGGGCTGCTCTTAATAACTTCCCCGATATAGCTCAGTATATAATTGAGGTATTTATGCCGTTTCTATTTCTGTGAATTTGCTTGTTTTTCTGTGTTGGGTTTTTAAAAGAAGTTGAATTCTGTGCTGGGTTTGTAAAAGAAGTTGAATTCTGTGTTGGGTTTGTTAGGAAAGATTGAGTTATGCAGTGGCTTTGTGTGAAAATGTTGAATTTTTGTTTGGTTGGTTTGTTTGGGGGGAGGGGGGTTGGGGTTGGTAAAATTCTGGGATTGTGTTTGGTATAAGAGCTGGCTGAGCTTGGTTGTTGTACGTTTGGTATTGGATTGCTGCATTGTGTAGCGTTGTCGGTTTGACTTGGATGAACATATTTTTTTATTGATGTTGTCAAAGCATGGTGACGATGTCAATGCGAGTGAGAATATACAACAGACAGCGTTGCACTGGACAGCTGTGCAGGGTGCAATTGCGGCGGCGGATGTGCTCTTGCAGAATGGAGCTAGGGTTGAGGCTGCTGATGTAAATGGATACCGGGTAATTTTCTCGTTTACTTTCTCCTTTTAAATGCATTTTCTTTCTATTTTTCTTAATTCCCTTTTGGTTGAGTATTGGCCATTTCGAATAAGATAAACCTGGTATTTGATTATGCAAGGATTATGATTTTTTTGTTGTTGTAAAAATAATGAGAGAGACCCACATTCCGTGGATATAAACCTGCTTCTTCCTCACTTCTCAACACTACACCACCTCTCCAATCTCAGTTCTTACTTCTTGACTTCCGCCCAAATAAACTGGGACTACCCAACAATTATTTGCACCAAATCCTCCACAACCATATCTTCTGTTCATCTGAAATGATACATCTCTCTCTACCTCAGAAGAATCTCCAAATTATGGTCCTCTGTGACTTCTTGGAGTTCTAAATGGCCATATCACCAGCCACTGCTTTTGATTTTTGCAAAAGAAATTAAAGAAGCTTGATGGTTGAAGAGCAG